ATTTTAGACATTTTATTTAAACAAGCAATAAATAGTGAAAAATACTTTATAAACAAGTTTAATTTACTTAAAATCATAACATCACTTGTTATAGTAAAAATTATACCCGTTTTATGACAGATGCTGTTCTCCAAATCATGTTTTAAAGGACATCTTGTTTCAGTTCTTAAAAATTAAAAAAAAATTCATGTGCTTTCTCAATTTTTGTTCTTACACATTCAACTATATCCTTCATATTTGGCATTTTGATTTATTAGGCAATCTTAGTATTAAAGACTTTTAGCAAAGCAGTGCTAGATTTCAAATGCACTATGCATGATGCCCATGATGAATTAATTCCACTAGAGCACAAAAGTTATCATTATTTAAATGCTAGTTTCTTTCAGAAGTTTTACTTCACAGTGAAGTTTTCAAATCAGAATTTAGCTGATATTTTGGAGTAAACAGATGGTTTCTTTTTACATATGTAGGTTTCTTTTTACATATGTAGGTTTTCTTCATATTTAACCTTTTCTTATATGAATCTACATAGAAATACTTAATGTTTATTAATAATTTCAACATGATTTAGTAAAGAAGTATTTAAGAATATATAATAATTTTTTAATTTGATGGTTTAATTTTCTTTAAATGTCATATTCAAAATTCTTTGGATTTAATGTATGTACGTGGTTAAATAAATTAGACAACAGAATGAATCAGATCCTGGACACAAAATATCTTTTAATATCACTATATATAATTTCATTTAAGAAAAGTTGACATAAATAGTTATAAACTTTCTATATTTACTGTTATTTGTTATTATCTTTCAAGAAGTCATTATTTTAAATCCATTTGTTTTGATTAAATGGTAAGATGCCAAAAAAAAATGAGTTAATATTTAAGCATCAAAATTACCAGATAGGGTATCTGTGTATATAGAATGTTGATAAGGGAGTGTGTGGTTGGAAGTAGAGGCTATTTTTATCTTCTTATAATCCTTGACATACATAGACTGATCAATTGATCTATCTATACATATGCACACACAACACACATATACACACACATGCAAGGGGCTAGGGAGTGGAAGAGAAGAAGAAAGAGAGGTAGGGAAGATGAGAGAAAGGGAGAAAGAAATATGAGAGAGACCAGAGAGAAAAGAAGTTGAGTAAGCAACAAGGACCAATAGTGTCCCTGGTGGTAGTTGAGATAACACAATTAACTGTACTTGCCCAGGTCAAGTTTTAAACTTTTGAACATTGGAGCGAATACAGAATGGGATATATGCAGGCTTCTGTTATCACTCAGGAATATAACTATTTCACATGATACAGTTTTATATCGATAGAACCTACAACTCTAAGAGGAAAAAATAAAACCAACAAGTCTAACATTCAGTACTACCCTATCATAAAGTAAGGAGGTCTAATTGAGCTATGTCTTTATATCCTGCTATTTGTACAAATAAAAGACTACATCTTGATGCAAAATAAACACAAAAGCACTGTTGTGACTATAACAGGGAGTCATATACTAATTTATATAATAAGTGGTTTTGCACGCTTTATTCAAGATTATGGCTGCAAGAAATGGCATGAATTGCTGGGTGTGTTTAATGCTGGATTATAGCAATTTGAAACATGTCAAACACATGGCTAATGCCTCATGCTTCACTCATTCTTGCGTAAACCTGCATAGCCACCATCCATTATACCCTTGGTAACAACACAATTCTGCAAGTAAATATTGTTACACTAAGTAACCTTTCAATTCAAGTTGTTTAGGAAGAGAAAATGCAATCTTGTGCAGTCAGTTCCAGTGTCAGTTTAATGTTTCAAAAGGGAAGTGGTGTAGAGAATAAGTATCTGTACAGTGACTTGCTTAAAAAAAAGAAAGAAAAAAGAAAGAAAGAAAAACTTAATGTAAGGGAGAAGAGTAGAACTGTATCATTTGAGTGCAAGATCTAAGGAGTTATTTTCTGATGTGGCTAAAAAGTTGTGTATGTTGAAAGACTTAAGGGTTTAACTTACAGCTCAGACAAACATTAAAACTGTGACTCCCAAACTCACCTTTCCCTTTAATGATCTGGAATTTATTTTCACTGATTTTTGTAAAATGTTTGTGGTAGGATTGAGAAGAATGAATAATTTAGTTCGATACGTTTGGGATCACAGGCACATCCACTCTGAAAGAATATGCTGAATTTATAATTATTTAAAATATACTTAAAAGGTAAACAGCACCTCACATTGTGCTAGAAATATTTCCTCTAGTGGGAAGCAAGTGTGGAAGTGTTACTAAAGGAAACTTAGTAAATACTGGAAATCATCTACATTATCCTTGGGGAATGTCTCCTTTATAGTAGACACACTTCAGGATTTTTTCTTTAGGTGAAATGTATAATATAATCATCTAATTATACAATTGCCCTTCTTTTTTCATATAAATGTTTGGTCAGATTCTACTGTTTTATAGAGCAAGAAGTACTATCACTCATAGTTTTCTTAAGCATAATTTTACTAACTCTTAGATGATTGAACTTAAAATGTAAATCATAATTTATACTCTAGGGCTTTATAAAGTCAAAAACTCCACAAGGGATAACAAAATCCTTTAGTTAACAGGAATTAGAAGTTATGTAGGTCTTTCTTAATAATTATAATAAAGATTGAGACACATAACTCTGCTTGTTGATTATTCTTAATTATTTGATGGCCTTGATTATGGCACAGTAATACATGTAGAATCCTTTCATTCATCCAATTGGTCCTGACATTTACTACACAAAGGTTAGTATTAAATGCTGTACCTATCTGCTACAGTTGAAAATATAGTTCTTTATTTTTATTCCTGTTGTTGCAAACTTCACCCAGAGATAATCAGTATTTCAAATAAATTTGGGTGTTGAAATAAAAGCACACATACATGTATATACTCAGATATACTGTCAAAAGTAAAATTTAAATGCAATATTTAGAAGTTATGTCTGTTTCTCCAGTTGGAGAGAACTGAAATTATAATTTTCATATAACTGGTAAAGGCAATCAGATCTTTTCTCTGAATATTTTAAACATTGTGCATGTAAAATTTATGCCTAATTTGAATACTTATTAGCTGCCTAATCTCAGAAAAGAGTACTAGCTTTGTTTTTTTCTTACAAAATCCATCACTATGTATCAATTTTTATTTATATGATTTTTCTTTGTTAATGTTCAATACGATGTTTAACAAAACCTATTTGTTCATAAATGCATTTGATTCAAAAGTTATTTACTGTAGTTATAGCAATTACTTCCTTTATGATCATGGTTTTGTTGTTGCATTTATTTTTTATCAGAACAGCTTTAAATTGTATCTATAGTTTTGGTTATACTAACTTGCTTTGCTAATACAGCTACTCAGGATCTCTTTTCAAAATTAGTAGGTCTTTTTTTTAATGGACTTTTTAGAATCATAGAAATAATTTAGTAATTTAGCATTTGGTGAAAATACCTATTAAAACTATTATAAGTATTCATTTTAATAATTATAATATTAGCATTCAAAAATATCTTTTGGAGATGTGTCACATTTCTTTGTATATGTGTGTGATGATCACATTTTAAAACATAAGTGGGTAAAAAACATTTCTCCATGACAGGAAGAGATATTAAGCTTATATTTGCTTTACAAAATATATTTCAAAATTTTAAGTGGGAATAAAGCATTAAAATATGACCAAGTTTAAAATAGTGAAATCATGTAGAAAAACAAATTAGATTGAGTGATAAGTTTTATGTCCTTCTTTAGTTTAAGGTAAGTCCACTGACTAGCTAGCATTACTGTGAAAGTCACCGCGCAGCCAGGTTGCTTCTGAATTTCGGTCCGTAGAAGTAAAACAGAGAAGTGCATCTATTAGTTAATGGCATAGGATTCAGATGTCTTTAAGAGCCAAAACTGATCTTTCTAAACCACAGATTCAAGATGTACTGTGAAAATTCTGGTTTGTAACAGCACATTGGTTCTTTATTTACTGCAAGGATTTCCACTGATCTTGGCAGGACATCTCATTGCTATCCTGAAAGTACAGTATATTTATGCAGTGAAAATGATAAAACATTTATTACTGTAGAGAAGGTAATATGCATAATTTATGCTGTTTTTAGCACAATCATTAGTGATATTCTTGATAGATTTTATTTCCAGCTTTCATATCTAATACATGCCTGGAAAATTAATTTTATATCTTTCATTTATTTGCCTATGTTAAAATTGAGTTTTAAGTCATCTTCAAGTGAACAGTTTGATTGCTGCTCATGCATAAGCTTAATTACTTCCCAGGAAGGACAGTATTAAATGTTTTAAATGTCAGAAAAATAAATGAATATGAGCTGTTTGATTAAAAAAATAGGCAATATCTGACGTGTTTGCAGCAGGAGCTTTTTCTTAAAATGCCTCCAAGGCAAAATTTTATTTAGTCTCAAAAAAAAGAAACCCATTATACTATTTATCATTGGTTGATACCATATGATTTGTAACACCCTTACAAAATTTTAATTTTGTATGATTAGCTGTGCATCATTAAACAACAGCCTTGCATAAGATGTGCTGTAAAATTCTGACAGAATCAAGATAGTGAATATTTAAAATAAGGCTGTATAGTCATCCATGGTTGTCAAAGGTAGATAATAGGAAACATAGAACAGAGTGTGCAATCGTGCCTTCATTTAAACTGGTTTTATAGGGAGACTTTAAAATGTGGTCGTTCATAAATGCTATTGACCATGCTATATGCATGGTATGTTACTTTGGCTGTTAAATGTAACCACACAAAAATTGCTTATAGAAACCATAATTTCAGTGATTAGTATCTGGCTAAAAGCTGAATTTGTATTGCTTTTCTTGGTAAATGACTATTCAAGGCTTCCCCCCCCCTTCTAAAGATGCTGTCTCTGTAATTGGCAGAGAGGGACATCTTGATAATGGAAGTGTGAAGGTGTAACGTGTGTTAATTGATACTTCTTAATCACTTTTAGGTATTAAGTCATGATGCAGGAATCTGCGACAGAGACAATAAGCAACAGTTCAATGAATCAAAATGGAATGAGCACTCTAAGCAGCCAATTAGATGCTGGCAGCAGAGATGGAAGATCAAGTGGTGACACCAGCTCTGAAGTAAGCACAGTGGAACTGCTGCATCTGCAACAACAGCAGGTAAGTTTTGTTTTCCTCAGTGCTTCTTTAAAGCAAATAAGCCTGTTTTCTTGAATATGAAAAATGTACTCATAGCAAATCGAGCATGTCGTGTTAAGTTAAAATGCTGAGAATTTATTATTATTTGCAACATGATTGAAGGATGAGTAAAGATAAGATTTTCATATTAGTTACGTCATACCAGCACCAGAGTGCCCTTCAGGTGTCAGGATGTTAATTAAGCTCACAGGATGATTTTTGGAAGGTCTGTAAAGCTTTGTAACAAATATTTTATAGCTTCTAGTTTACTGTCTAACATTGTGCTGCAGAATGTGATACTTAGTTTTCCACCAGAGGGCCACATTACTTGATACTTGCTTATACAATGAATTTCTTCCAAGTCTGAGCTAAGGTGAAAAGGACCACAAGGACTTTTCACAAGACAGATGCTTGCCTGTGATAGCTACAAATATTAGCTATTAATTAGTTGAAATCTGTGGAGAGATTGTAAATCATATAAACATTATGATTATCTATGTAGCTTTTCTTGAACTCATTCCAAGATATTTTGAATATACATCTTTCACTAACATTAAAGAGCACTTTTTGTGTTCTAGTGTCTCATAAAATGTAATTATTTTCTTTAAATCTAGAAAAGTAAACAACTGCAAAATGAAGGTACATTTTTATGTAGTCTATTGTTGTTTTTATAAAACAGATGCATTTTTCCTAATTTTGTTTGTCAATGAAATTTTATTTTCTACCAAAAAATAGCCACTACATTCTTCACTGACTCAAGTCTGCAGAAACAGTAACAGAGAATAGAAGCTTTCAAAGCATATACTTATATTAGGCCAGAATGAGTACACCTGTTTGAAAAGATTATACTTGTTTGAAAATAAAGATTTTTTTTTAAGCTCTGGATTGCATTCAGACTAAATGGCAAAGAAATCATTAAAATTAAATCCACTAAAATAATGTATTAATATTAAAAATGTTTCAAATTAAGTTATATCATTCACATTTTAAGGTAGTATATAATGAGAAAGAATGCATCTCAAAAGTTAAAGCAAACACCCACACTAGACTAAAACTTAATAGAATTATTATTTAAAATAATAACAGCATTTTAAAAGTTGTATGGATTGAATAATGTCTTAACCTTTAGGCATTGTTTTCAAGAATAATCTTTTAAAATAGCTAAACATAGCATTTTGAATAGGTTACCTATTATTTTAGAATTATGTCATTTTTCAGAGAGTGATTATTAAGAAGACAGTTTTTATTGTTTTGAAATAGTTTGTTTTAACTATCACAGGAATTAAATGCCTACCAAAGTCCCAGGCTTAGCTCATTTTACAGGTTACTTTAATAAATGCAGTTTTCAAGACAGTCCTTTTCTTCCTTTAATATATTTGCAGGAAATATCACACCAGTGGAATACAATAATATTCCTACTAATTCCCCTAAAAGAGTTCTTAGCATTTTTAGCCAGATTCTATTTTGCCTGAGAATCCTGTGGACTGCATTTATAAAGGCGAGTGAAAATAATAATTGAAAACGAACATTGCAGTTGAGTACTAAAATATGACAGGTTCTGAAGAGAAATGCCAAGAAATGGCTTTCTTTTCCTTCACAGCCCCGATTAGATTTCCAATAAACAAAAAACAGAGTAAAAATTATGGCTATACAGTATAGTAGTCTCCAGGCATCTTATGATTGGGTCTACAAAGTGTGTTCACAACCTGACTTTGAAGTTTACTTTGTTCTACACAGTTCATCTATGTAAACCATAAACAAGAATAAATATAAAAGTTATGCCCTTCAAATGACTTAGAAACTTTAGTCATGTATTGGATGTTTGTAGAGTAAGTTCTAAAAGTGATTTAACACGATGGGTATAGTCGGCACCTACATAGACACTTCAGGAAGTGTCTAGAGGAAGATATGTAATCAAATAAATAAATAAACATGCATAAACCTTTGTAAATGTCCCTTTCCTTAGTTATGTTTTAACCATATCAATATAGTTAGATACTTAAGGTTATTGAATTTTTTTCCTTCCATTAGTGCATTTTAGAATGGGCCTTTAAATTCTAAGGATTAATATGTCTTTTCTATAAAATTAATGAAATTATTACTTTTAATACTAACATATTCACTATTATTTCAGAAGAACTAAAAACCATGAAGAATATTTATTAAAACAAATTCATAAAAAGTGGAATAATGAAATAATTTTATAAATTTATCTTTACATGTTTTTATTTAAATGTAAAGTTTTGTGCAAATAATTAAATTACTTCTCATAAGTATAATGGACTAATCATCATTGGCCAAGTCTCTTATTTAGAAATATAATTTAGGAGGCAGTGACTGGTGTAAACAAAGTAAAATTTTGTTTGCCATGAACTTCTGGCAGAAATGGTCTGTTTTAAGAACAGTATGTTTATCTTAATTTTTATGGCTTTTGTGTTTTTGTAGAGGTGAGTAGTTTGACTTAAATCAGCCATGTATTTAG